AGCATAGTGCTTGCTCCAACAGCCCCTTAAGTAGAGAAATCCAGCACTTACTGGGACCAGTGACATATACCAGTGAAAAGCAGAAAGAACTTGCTTTTGAGCTATTGGTAGCTAAGAGTCCTTATCAGGAGGGAAATTCCTCTATACCTGAAGATTGTTGGTATACAGATGGCTCCAGTTGTGGGCAGCCCCCTAAGTGGAGGCCTGTAGTTTCCCATCCTAAGACTGAGACAATATGGCCGGAGGATGGAGAGGGGAAGAGCAGCCAACTGAGTTGTGGGCTGTATGGCTCATGATCACCCAGGAGCCCTCCCCTATAGTTGTGTATACTGACAGCTGGGCTGTCTATTGGGGCTTGACCCTGTGGCTACTGACATGATACCATGCCAACTGGAACAGTTGGTCACCAGCCTCTTTGGGGGGAAGAATTGTGGCAAGACCTATGGGCCTCTGGTCAGACTAAAATTGTTACCGTATATCATGTGACTGGCCATTTGCCTTTGGCATCCCCAGGGAACGACGAAACAGACACATTGGCCCAGGTCCGCTGGCTAGAAGGAAAGCCTGCCTCTGATGTGGCCCAATGATTACACCAGTGTTTGTTGCACAGGTGGAAAAAGACAATGTGGGTTGTAACCTGTCGGTGGGGCTTGCTGTTGACCTTTGACGAAGTCAGTAGAGCCTGGAAGGAGAGCCTTGTGTGCTCTAAGAGGGACTTCCACTGAGTCCCACAGCAAGATGGGACAATAGTAAAGAGCCCAATACCCCTTATCAGGTGGCAGATAGATTATATTGGGCCTCTGCCCTTGTCAAAAGGGTACCAATATGCCATAACTTGTGTGGACACAGCTACTGGACTGCTGGTTGCTTTTCCTGCATGTCATGAAGATCAGTAAGCCTACCAAAAGGGGCCTGGAGCATCTCTTTGCATCCTATGGCCAGCCACACATGATTGAGAGTGATCAAGGCATCCACTTTGCGTTACAAGAATGGGTGCAGCAATCAGGAATAAAGTGGAAGTTTCATGTACCATATACCCCTACCAGGGCAGGTATGATAGAGAGGTACACGGTTTGTTGAAATCTGGCCTGAAGTCGGACACCAATAGTCTACGGGGCTGGTCAGTTCGCTTATGGACAGTGCTACAGCATTTGAATGTGAATCCCTGGAAAGGAGCCTTGAGCCCTGTGGATATGCTTACACACCTTGCTGCCTCTCCTATACAACTGTATGTGGAAACCAAAGAGGAGTTATTGAAGTCAGGATATGGCCAGCACAGCAACATCCTGCTGCCAGCCCCTACTGCATTAAACCCTGGAGACTCTGTTGAGTGGACATGGCCTGGTACATTCTGACACATGGACCAGCAATGGCTGGCCCTTCTGTCACCTTGGGCCAGAAGCTGGCCTTCTGTGTATTCCTGGAGTAACAGCAGAGTGGGCACCAAAGATCATAGTAGTGTACCCAAAACATCTGGGAGGTAAGAACATAAGGGAAGTTTTGTTTTATTTTTATGGCCAGTGTGTGTACCTCTCGTAGCCCTATATATTGACCCATCTATAAAACCCACAGGGAGTGGGTGAAAGTCTGGTATATTAGACCAGGACAAGAACCCGTTCCTGCCACTGTCCCATCACAGGACCACTCTCTTGCATGCATCCCCCCTGATGGACAAGATTTGCCTATGCTGGTGTCATTAGAACATGTATCTTATTGCCCCTAAAGTTATTTTCTTCTACAGTCCCTATGCCTGTCCCACGGTTGCAGCTGCCTTGTCATGATTGCTCGGAACGACCTTCCTATTCAGCTACTGGTGCCTGTGGAATGGGCGAGCTACAGACTTAATCTGCATAGGACTTTGAATTTAGCTGAATCCTCTGGCTTGAGGATTATCATGATTTTATTGCTGTTGTTATTGTATGTCGTTAGTCTGGTTACAATGCTCCACTTTTCTCACATAGGGGCCATGAGGAAGATGGACAGTGAGTAGATTGTGAGGTGAAATTTCTGGAGGGTGGGATCTGGGTAAAATTGCAACATTTCCAGAATCTCTCACCTGACCTTAGTGCATCTCCATATCAGTAGGTGTTTCCAAGGGATGGAGAGAAGTAGTCCATCTCCATATCAGTAAGTATTACAGGGGCAAGGAAGGGTATCTGGACCTGAGAGGTTGGGTGGGGTCAGACTAGGGTCAACTTCCTTGGAAATTGAAGGCTGAGGAGGCTCTCTGCTAGGGATACCCTGCTGATTGATATTCTTGCTACGTATTTTTATGTAGTTTTTTGTTTGTTTTGTTTTGTTGTTTGACTTATTTTGAATTGCCCGTGTCTATTAATATGTTCCCAGCAATTACTACAACTTTTTTTTTCTTTTTGATCTTGCTTTACAAAATGGACTTAGTAAAAAAATAAGCTTTCATAGTTCATTAAAATATTTCATAAACAGACTACTTTAAAAGGAGGTTTTAAATAAATATCTTCTTCCAATAAGCTTTCTTTGTCCAAGAAAAATCAACCAGAAATGAAGACATCAGAGCTCTAATTTTATAACATAGAAATATAATTGAATTTACATAGCTCTTCAGGACCATACATAAATATTATATGTTATATATTTGTTTCTGTGATTCTTGGTTCCTAGCTAGATAACACTTAATTTTGCATTTGTGATTTCTGCTTCCAAATCTAAAATTGTAAAATTTTCCTAAAATTGTGTGTAGGTCAATAGCTGACTATATTTTTAATTAGTAATGTAAGTTGAATGCATATCACTAAAGGCATCAAACAATTAGCAAGCCTAATTACTAAATAATTCAACTCTCTGGCTGCTATGTACACACTGTATAACACATTTATTATCACAACTTTGACAGTTTATTTGAATGTGAACTGTGTCACAATGCCATGTCAAGAGATCCCTGGAAGTGTTTGTGCTTTTTTCAGTTACTGCTGCCTCTCAACATCTTGACATTCTTTAGCAGGCATAGGTTCCTAGCTAGATAACACTTAATTTTGCATTTGTGATTTCTGCTTCCAAATCTAAAATTGTAAAATTTTCCTAAAATTGTGTGTAGGTCAATAGCTGACTATATTTTTAATTAGTAATGTAAGTTGAATGCATATCACTAAAGGCATCAAACAATTAGCAAGCCTAATTACTAAATAATTCAACTCTCTGGCTGCTATGTACACACTGTATAACACATTTATTATCACAACTTTGACAGTTTATTTGAATGTGAACTGTGTCACAATGCCATGTCAAGAGATCCCTGGAAGTGTTTGTGCTTTTTTCAGTTACTGCTGCCTCTCAACATCTTGACATTCTTTAGCAGGCATGTGAAATAAAACAGTTCTCAAAACAGTTCACATATGTGACTGAAAAATTCACTTAGTAGTGTCAGTCACCATAACAAAATATTTCCTTAATAGTTACTAAATATTTACAGCAAAGAAGAGAGAAATTAATAGAAAAATTTAGTGAGGTTTTGGGATGTTGATTTGGAATAGTATTATAAAAATCCTTTTGGTATGGACAAAGTATGTAAACAAAAACAGGTTGGCCAGTTTGATATTGGCCACCTGGACTCATATCATTGTGCTTTTGAAATACAAATAATTAATGTATGTCTCCCTTGACTGCTGATTCAAAAAATTTAATTTGGCTATTTCCATATTTATTAATTTTATTATTTGAGAATGTTAAATGGTATTTTTAAAAATTTATATAGTATTGCTCATCAAAAAAAATTCCTGACTTATGCTTCCATTTAATTTTTCTAGGGTATGTGAAGCTATAAGACACTAGGTAGATTTTTAGCATAAATATCCTATATAATATAGGACTATAGTGCTTAAATAGTTCTGTGATCTGCTAGAAATAAAATTTTATTTTATATCTAGGACTAATCCATAATATATAGGCTGAATAGCCAATTAAATGGAAATTTCTTGCTAAAATGAATTTGTTAAAATATAACGGAAGTTGAACCCATCATTAACATTCCAGGGCTGACAATGACCCCAATTTCAGTTGGTGGAAGCAACATTCTTTCAGTAGAAATAACTTTTGGTGAGAATATTTCCTCTTTCTAAAGGGTTAATTAAAGCATGATAGTAACAAGTTTGACTATGCTGTCATCTTGAAGTTAGATGTAGGTAATCTATCAGATTTCTGTTTTAGCTAATTGGAAAAGATGAGAGATATGGAATTAAGATTCACATTTTACTGGGAACTGAGAGACAAATTAAAATGTTAGATATAATTAAATCATAGACTTTGAAAGGACTTGAGAGGTCATCTATCTAGTTAAATAGAATAGCTTTCAACTGAAAAGGAACAAACTTAAATCATCCTCCTGTGATTAGTATCTGAACCCTTATAAGACAACCACAATTAGTTCAGCAAATCAAAGCAGTGTTTAACAGTCTTCATTGTTCATGAAATTATCCCAATATCTGAATACCTCAAGCTGTGGATAAACACTTTTACTAAGTCATCAGTTTATATTAAGAAAGATATATTTGAAACCTTTCCACGAGGAATTGAAAAGCTGTCAAATCAAGGCTGCTGTGTTCTAATAAGAAGAAAGTCACTATTTGACTTTTTTTTTCATTCTTGGGTTTCCTCTCAAGCATTTTCATTCTTTTTATGATTCTACATAAATATTTACAAGTCCATATCTCACTTATTTTCTTTAAGCCCAAATTAGACTAGAACCTTTCAAAATATGTTTAGATGGAGCTAAGTACAATAGGAGAATTATTTCCAATGTTCCTACCACTGCATATTTTGTGTGTGCTTGTGTGTGTGTGTACGTGTGTGTGCGTGGGTTACTTCTGCAAACCTACCCTATCTATATATTTTTTCTGTTGTCATTAATACCCAAATTTGTTCTCTTCACCTTGTTAATTTACCATTTTCCCTTGAGCCTTTGTTCCATTAAAATGATTTCACATCTATTAAGCACTAAAACAATTTATTGGGGGAGCTGAACTCACCCTTGGTGTGAAGGTGGCATCATTGATGGAATGCATATGACCATAAAGTGACTGCTCACATTTACCCTGGGAAGACAAAGCAGAAATAAAATCAAATAAATTCCATTCAATAGGTGAAAATAAATTAAAGAACGATTAATTTTTTGGTTTTAAGTAACACTTTAGTCCAATAATAAAATTAATAGATTCACATGAATGAAAATGGCAGCTTTTTTATAGCGGCCTTTCAGAATCAGACAGAGTTCTCTGGCAAGTGTGTCACAAATCCTGGTATCCACGCTGAAATTCTAGTGTTCTCACTTTTATGCCATTGAGCTGGAGGTGAACTCTCACTAAATGACTCCATTTTGCAACTAGCATAGTTTTCAAGCCTTGGGGCCCACTAGTGATGCCCTTACAGAAGGCTCTTGTTACCAGCACATCATTCCCCCCCTGCTGGAGGTGTAGGGTTCTTTTTTCTTTTTGGTTTTTAATTACAAGTTCATGTTTTAATTCCTGAATTTTAACAGTGTGGCATTAAAATTATTACATGAATAAAAATGTTATAAAACATGTATGGTAGTTTTTTGTTTTTGTTTTAAACACAAAATAAGCATTTGTTTTATGAAAACCATACTTGACACTTACCAATTCAGGTCATCTTTTCCAAACAATAGCGAGAATTAAATTTAAGTACAAAAATTACCAAGCTTCAGTTCAAATAATTCCAGGAAAAGTGGGCCCCATAACACATTACAAAGGGGATTTAAATGTGGGTCTTTCATTTTGACACCTGTGTTCACAGGGCATTCTTAACTATATTAGGGAAATAACCTGAATTCTGTGGAAGGACCAGAGAAAGTTATATCTAGAATACTGATTATTAATTTTTGTTATGGGCTAAAACCCAGAATCAATTCAATAATATACTCAGTCAACAAACATTTTTGGGCAATTCTAGGTCCTTAGGATAGGTCAGTGAATAAAACGAAGCACCTTACCTTCATTGACCTTACATTCTAGGGTATGGGAAAGAATAGATATTTTTAAAAAGGTATACAGTGTATTAGGAGATAACAAGTATTTGAAAAAGAAGAAAAGTCAGGTGGGGCAAGGTACATCAGAAGGGGGTAAGGGCAAATTAAATGATCATATAGAGGGATGTGCTTTGACCACACTCAAAAAGTAAAATACGAACAGAGACTGAAGGCAATATGAGAGTCAGCCAAGCAGTCATCTGGAGAAAAAAGTATTCCAGTCAAGGAGCAAAAGCTAGAGCAAATGTTGCAAGCTGGGAGTCCGCCCGGTGTGGTTCTGGTATACAAGGAAGCCAGTGTGGCTGGAGAGAAGTCAGTCAGAAAGAAGTCAGACAAATGGCTCATTCAAAAGGCTTTGTCTACTTTCATTCACTACCTCACATTTACTTAGTCTTAAACCATTCAAGGCTGGAAGAGAGGTTACAGAGAAGACTACAAAATGAGATATTAAAGATAGAGGATCATCATATATCTTCATTGTTATAGAACATTCATGGAGTATTTGGGGAACTAAGCAATGTTATTAAAGCCTTAAACTAAGCTCTATTTAGTTCTTTGTGCTCAGCAAGCTAAATTTCAAATATCTATTTAGAGAATTAATGAATGCTATTCATCTCTTTTCATAGAATGCAAAATTTTCCCACAAGAATATAAATTTCATAAATGTATGTGAAAATACCTTGGCACTCTCTCAAAATTCCACTCTGCCCATGTTATTCTGGTTCGGTGTCCTGATAACATTACAACTTTAAACCGATTATGCTGAAAACTTCAAATCATCTAAATTCCCAAAGTAGGAAATGAATTACTTACAAAGCCAAAAAGGTGAAGTATAATTAGCTCTCATATATTACTTAGGAAATCTGATGGTTAATTTTCTTTGAGAACTAATATAATGTATAGTTATATAGTATTTATAGGGGGTATTAATATTTAAAAACATTTAAATTCACAAATTTGCCTTAAATAAATGTTTTTTGCATTAATAAAAGTTTTACATTTGGTCCACTTCTAAACTGAGAACCTCTAAACTACTTGATTAATTGGTAAGGAAAATGGAGTTTTCCGATTCAAATCCTGAATGCCAAGTTTTAATTCATAGTAGAATCTCTATGGCACTCTTGAAAAGCCCTGGAAATATAGGGTTATAATGGAAATGCTGACGGACCACATTTGTGATGCTGTAACAAAACCTGACTCAAAGATAAATGTTTCATGAATTAAGAAAAGTTATAAAAGCTTTTCTATCCAGCTTTGTTCCCAAGATAAAAGTGAATCTACTCCTTTTGTGCTTTAGGGAATATGTGGGTTACTAATATTCTAGTCTGCAAACAACCTTAATCAAAAGCAATACCCAAACTGGGATGTTACAATTTGGAATACTCTTTTGATGAATTCTTGTCAAAATTGCTTTCTTTCAAAGAGGTGGAAAAAAATGAAAAAGAGGGAAGATTCTTACCAAAATAAATCATGTGACCTAACATGGCATTGCTCCAGTATCTGAGTCTATCAGAGAAGCTGTATGCAATAATGATTTCTTTTATTGGACCTGGTGTTAGAAACATCTGGAACTTAATTCTTGGATCTGCTACCTAATACCTGTATGACCTTAAACAAATTGTTTCACTTCACTGTGCTTTAGTTGCCTTATTTAATTCTTAAAATAGACCTATAGGTTAAACACCATTACTAGTGTCCAGTGAAACAGTGATATTTCACACACAGGTTTGTTTTGCAAATTAACCTGAGATGATGTACTTGAAGTGTTGGTAAAATGCCTAGCACAAAGTAAGAACCTAACAAACATTAGCTCTTGATACATAAATCATGGATGATATCACTCATCATTAACTAAAATTACTTAATGAATTTGTTTCTTTGTCTATTGTTAGTTTTTTCCTACAGAATTAAGCCCCACAAGAGAAACTTGTTTGAAACTTGTCTTATCCACCATTTTATCATCTCCAAGGCCCAAGACAGCTCTGGAAGGATTTGATAAATAGCTACTGAGTAAAAAAAGTAAACAGTTAAATGGAGATCACAACTGAAATTGAAAAAAAAAACCTACCCTCACTAGATACTAGTTATTTTTTGGATAGAGAGCTTGGTCATCCTCCCATATTTATTTTCATCTTGATCAGTCATGACATGGAATGTGCACTTTCTTATTCCCTCAACTCCTTTGCTGTAACTTGCTTCTCACTTAATAGCATATTTACCCATTTAATTTGCCATTGTCTCCAAACAACTACCTAGAGATAATCGATGACTCCAGGTGAAGAAGGCAGCTTTACATTCATTGAGTGTGTACTATATACTTAAATCATTATGTTTTACTTTTATTATTACATTTAATCCTCACAACAGTTCAATGAGATGGGTACTATTGCAGTTCCCATTCTAGAGGTGAGAAAACAGAAGCACCATTCCGTTATGGCAGAGACAGAGTGCTGAGCCAAGACAGGAACTCTGCTTTGTCTGAATACAAAGCAGATCTAACCCTTTATGAGCAAGATATTGAACTGAGAAGATGGGGACAAATTTTCAGTGCCCTTTGAGAAATTTTTCCAATATTCTTTCTTGTAGATGTGCACCTCTTGCCCACCTTGTGGTTGTGCGTGGCCATGTAATGAGTTCTGGCCCAAGAGTTATGAGTGGAAATGACATGTAATATCCCTTCATGATCTCTCCAACCCTACCTTTCTAGCATTTAATTAGAGGTACAATACCCTCCAGTGATATATTTTCCCTCCAGCAGAAACCAGCAGCATTCAAAGTGGCCGCTTGGTCATGGTGGTCCTGGGTGAGTACAATGAGCAGAGCCCTCCCTTCCAACCTACATAGGACACAGACATGAGCAAGATACAAATACTGCTGTGATTTGGGGGCTGTGTGTCACCATAACACAACCTAATCCGACTGACATAAACCCTATGTAAGATTATTAACCTTGTTTTCTCAAATATTAAAAGTTTTCCTACTATCCATAGTGTCATGTGAAAAGCTGAAAAAATACTAAAATAATAGGTATCACAAACCTAATATGTAAGACAAAAGTTTACAAAACTCTTAAAAATTAGTCCTAATAAAAATCATAAAATACAAAATCACAAATATTCATAAAATAAGTGCCACCTCTAAAAATATCTGTAAAATCATTAAAGAAATAATGTTCACATACTTTCTTCTTCCTTTCTCATTTATAATGGCTTATTTATTTAACCAATGAATTCAATATTCTTCTGAAAATATAAAGTGAGCCTTCCCAAGTCAGTGTTTTTTTTTTAAAAAGGCTATCTTTCAAAAATTTCTTTTTGATGTATTAAAGTTTCTTTAGTGACATATAACATATAGCTTATAGTAAAATGCACAAATCTTATGGGCTTAGCTCAATGAATTTTTATGTATGTATATATCTGTGTAACTGCTATTCAGTTTAAGATACAGAACATTTCTATCACTCTAGAAAGTGCCTTCATACCCCTCTTGGTAAAAATATCTCCACAAATTTTTACTGGCAAAAAGAAATACAGAAATATGGTTGAAAAATCAAATATTAGAGGGCACATTCCAATAAAAAGCTAGTTTCTTACCTCAGCTCATCCTTAGATGTAAGCACTATAAATAGTATCTTTGGTGCATTTCATGAAATAATCTGTGCATGTATATCTTTACTGTGTTATGTTATCTACTTCAGTTTTTGCATAAATGAAATCATACTCTATATGCATTTTATTATGAGAGGTAGTATACTGTGGTGGTGAAGAATGTGATCCTTGGAGTAAAATTGCAGAGTATAGAACTCAGCTCTTTGGAAAGTTATTGGTAATAGCTCTCAGTTGTATAGCCACTATGCTAAGTATTTTATGTATAGCAACTCTTAATATCTACCATATGAAATTGGTAATATTTTAAATTCCCATTTACAGTTGGAAGAATTTGCATAAAGTGATTATTATGGTGCCTACACAATAAGAGATTACTATTTCTAGATTAGTTTATAGTTCTCTATTCTTTATTATTCTTACCAATTTTCACTGGCCACTGAAA